ATTTTTATATCTCTTGCATTGTTATTATATAACTTATTATTGGAAACTGCTACTGTATTTTGTATGTAGTGAATTATTTATGAAAACAAATTTTGCTAATATATCACTTGTTTTTAAAATATTAAATACCAAGAAACTAGGTGTGTCAATACTTTTTTGATCCACTGTATATGTAATATTTGATTTTTTTGCTATTAGGTTGTACAATTTCATTCACTTCATTATTAAATGTTTGATTACTTCTCACTAACAAATTCAGTAACTCTTTTATGTCTTTTATCATAAAATTGTATGCATAATAGTATTTCTTCATTCTTTGAATTATACAATTACTATTCGTAAAAAAGTTTTTTCTATTGAAACGATTACTATTTCAATATTAGAGCAAACTTAAATCGTTCATCAATTATTTAGGTCCAATATTTCTTGTAATAGCAAATGATTCTTTTAATGTTATATTTTCTATATACTATGTGTCCCTTTATTCAGTGTGAATCAATTATTGTCTACTACATTTTCAACAATATATATTTTTAATATCGTAACAATCTAATAACATAAAATTTGATTTTTATAGAAAAACCAACCTTCATTTTTACTCAATCTTTAAATTTCATCAATTTTGCATTACACGACTAATGTTCATTTCTCGCTAGACAAATTATTACTTCTGTGAGTTTATTTCTCACAAAAAGATATAGCACAAATAACAGCAAATTTAAAGATAAATTTTTTAAAAATACTTGCTAATCACCATGTCTTTCAAACCATGGAGTTCATCAATGTAGTTCTTGCAGCTCATTTAGAAACATTACAGTCTCCTGATCAATAAATTAGCATCACTCGAAACTTTCAGTAATTTTTATGCTTTTAGTAAAACTGAGCAAAGTTTATTAATTATCAAAATCTTATACGCGTAAATATTAACAATTTGAGTTTTTACTTTAAAGTAAATATCGTCCGTTAAAGCTCATTTCACCTTTTTCAACATTGCTATTGCGCTTTTACTATTTTAAAATAAATATTTTGAACTTTTCTTCTCGAATTAGGTAATATAGCGCTTAACTATAATAAATGAGAATCCTCGGTTACATTCAACCGATATTCTTGCTGATGTATTACAGTAATGAACTAAATAGACTACATAATAGTCGCACATACATTACATTACTGCACGTGCAATGTGGAAACGAACAACACAATACATATATATCACGTTATAATTAAAAAAAAGTATGTATTTTAATTCAAAATCGCGACGGTCAGAAACCGTGCTTCTGAATGAAAAGAAAAAGAAAAAAAAGAAAACGATAGAGTGATGTTGTTTTCTTGCTCGGAAAGTGCGCACTTCCAATTTCTCATCGCGCTATAACTCACATATCACTGTTATGCCAGCCATATTTCATCCTATAGCAAATGGCTCGAGAGAAAGCATTCGAAAAGGAAGCATTCCTTGCGAATAATAAATTTCATTGCGAAAACTCGAGCCGTGTATACTGTGCAATTTATACGTTCAATCGAACTCTGTTAAAAATCTATCCGAGAATTTTCTACGGATATAAATACTGCGGGGATGGAGAGGGGGTGGGATAGTTTGCGATCTGGTCTAACGTAAGATCGGGAACCACGTATCGCAGGATCCGCGTCCCCGTTTAAAAGCAACACACCCGTAGGATCTAGCTTTTACCCCGGCAGCCATATATCTCCTGAATTCTGGTGGAAAAATAGAGGAGAGGGAAGTACGTGGCTGCGCAAGAAAAGGGTAATACATCAAGGGCTAAGTCCGAAAACAATTTCATCTACGAAACAAGTGTAAACGGGAAAATACGCAAGGTCGGCGAACATACAGGATGAGTCTTGTAACGCGACGACATCAAATAACTCGTAAAATATTTGTTGCACGAAAAAAATGTTTCAGATAGAAGTTGCATGGCTTCCATGCGGGCATATAGTATTGTAATCAGTTTCATGTTTTTATTTTGCTTTTCTTATCAACAACATAGTTAAAATACATCGTTACTGAGATATTAGCAAAAATATTTTTTTACGTTGTAGTGGAAAAGTAACTATATATTTTAGACCCTATTTGGTCTTTTAGTGCCTAGAAAGACGCTTCCCAACTTGTAGAATTTTCGAGAGAAAAAAGTATCATTACTCGCCACCTTTTAAAATAATGTAGGAACATCCTTGAAACTGGACTTACTTTAAACTATTAATAATGTTATTAATTTTTCATTATTATTAAAATATATTTTTATTATAAAACTTTATTTAATTATATTAATTTAAAATTATATATAAATTTATATTTTAAAATAAAATTTTTAATTAAATTTAATTCTATTTAATGTAAATAAATAATTTTATATAAACTAAAATTTTATCTAAAAACACTTTCCAGTACTTTTACTATGTTACGACTTATTCCTATTAGAAATTGACGGGTAATTTGTACATCAATTAATACTTTATTCAGTTAAATTAATTTAATTAATTTACTATTAAATCGTTTATTAATCGTTATTTTTTAATGTTGATTCACGCAAGGCGTTTGCTTTTTTGAAGTGAATTCGCATATTTTTTAACACATTATAAAAAAAGCATTTATTCTATTGGTTCCAGAGATATTTTAACTAAAATATTGCGGTGTGATATTTGTTTCAAGTCGAATTTCTTTGCTCAGTTTCACGCTCTTCAAGTGTCGGATTTCGTTTCTCAGATTTAAATTCATTAGATTTCTTTTTTTCTTTTTTGTGGTCAACTCTAAAATATAAACTCTATTGCACGCAACAACAATCGCTAAAGACGAATTGTCGACGAACGTGGAAATATCGTTGCACTGATGTTGAATAATGTGAAATTCTAATTCTTTAAGAGTTAGATTACAGAAATACTTAGATGTCAGTGGTCGTCGCTTTGAGCACATTTTTGTAATAACTTATGTCATGTTATATGTTACAATGTAAGTTACGTTATAGTGAAATAAATACTAATTTTATTCTAATCTATAAAACGACAATAAATAATTAATAAACATTACACAATCTCCTCTGTTATTACCAATATTGCTATTAACAGATAAATTCGATACTCTACCAGTATTACTGCGAATTGTTTTAATTGAAATATCTCCTGAAATAATAGTTTTTCGGTAAATGGTTTAATACTTTTTTTTATAGAGAATAACGTATTCAAAAATATACAATTTCACTTAAAAAAAAAAAAAAAAAAGAAAAACGAACTTTCAAACGTTTCCTATGCATCAACATTAAAAAATAATTATATCAATTAATATTCCTCTCGAACTTTCACTACCATTCAACTTCTGAAACATTTTTAGATTTAATCAATCATTTCAGCTTTCTAGATTAATGAACCTGTATATTAGACGATGTGTTATACCAATTTTTTTGTTAATATGTCGAAAGTTATCGTACAAATGAGGTTAAAATATATTTGAATTATTATGAACGATTCCTGAATAGTATATAATTTATATTATCACTTTCAGAGGATTTTTTTTTTTATACAAGAATTTATGAAAGAATGATTATCCTCTTTCACCCAACAGCCGAGAGAACGGTGGGATGAATTATGAATTACTTATAAATCCTAGTAATTACCGATCACGAAGAAGCTGTCTAAAGGCGGAGAGAAAATATGATTTCTCTTCGCGGGCAGATCAATTATCTTTCGAAGGTAAATCATCCGATATATTTTAGCTACGAACTAAAATCTGGCATGGTAATAAATGGTTAGAAACTCCGTGAAAGTGTATGGTTTGCAGCACTGAAACAAACTATCTCGCAGACGGAAGACAAATCACACTCTTGGGAAATCTTGCGTGATTTAGCTTTGCATTCTTTAAGGGAGCAACTTTCTGAGCGCGATGAGACGAACTTGATCTTCCGACTAAATATTTTTAGACTAAAAATTACCGGAGAAACTATGGTGGCACTTTCGTAATGACTTTGACGAAAAGAAGAGTATCAATAACTAATAGTGAGGATCTTTGCAACTCGTCACGCTTTGTAGCAATTTTTGGTAAATAAATAATTGTAAAACTTTATCACACAAGTGACCCTATTAAATCTGATTAATTCATAGTTGACTTCCAAGAAAACAAAAATAACGTGGAAAAAAATTTCTGATTACACTTTACCAAATATATTGCAACTTACAAGTAATAAATTTATCACTTCTCAATAATTTCTATCCAGTGATATCGTACCGACGAGTTCAAAAGAAAAAGAAAGCGGCGAATTATTGTATACGGTTTGGTCGCTCGTTATGGTCCGCAATCGGTTGTCAGCGCAAGTGTAGGTTAAACCACAACAAAAAGAAAGAGAAAATTTCTAAAAAAAAAAAAAAAAAAAAGAAAAGGGAGATGGAAAATTGACGATTGAGAGGACTCTGGTGACTTTTGGAACAGGAAAAGATAACTAAACGTTCAGTCTCATTCGAAAATCTATTTCTCGAAATTATTTTACTTACGTGCAACCGTGGAGAGCGAATGAAGATGCGAAACAACAAGAGAGAAGAGGGGTACCTCGGATATAAAGTAAATATAAAGAAGAATGAATGTACATAGGGCAAACGGAGCTCTGTCAAGCGCAGCTTGTTTCAGTTTCAGATAAACCGGGGGACAAGCTTTTCTTTTCTTCCCTAAGACCATGGGATGCAGGTAAATAGATAGACGAGAAGTTAAAGAGGTAAGATAGAGTGGCGAGGGAGGGATGCTACTGACGAACGAAATGAGGATTTCTAAAAGACTTGTCCTCGGGAATGTTTTCAATTTCCTCGCCAGTTCCTACCCAGGTGCTCCTTCAACTTCGGTTGCCTCTCTCTTTCGCGGTTATAAACGAAATTCCATTCTCAAACCAGATTTGACTCGAGTTTCAATCTGGACGCGTTATTTAACAATCTTTGTCCAAAAATCATTTAAGGATCATTCGAAGTGTAATAAGCCATGTATTCATTAAATCAAATTCAAACACAAACCCGGTTATGTCACGGCATTGTTGTTTTCGAACTTAATTCTAAAAAAAACTTAATTCTAGAAAAAAAAAAAAAGAAACTGAACTAAGTAATTGAAACACACAATTTTAAAAATGAAACGCAAATAAACGCGTATAAAAACATAGCACATGAAAATATAAAACCAACGCAGAGAAATGTAAAAATGAAAACGCACGTAAAACACATCACAAGAAATAAAAATAAAAAAATATGTGGTACAGAGTCATTCCAGATCCATATCGTTTGTTGTGGCTAAAGCGAAGTTCTCAAAAATTCTTACACATAATCATTCGTTTCGATCAGTGAAACTGCTGTATAGGCTAAATGTGTTTATAATCTAATTACGGATTCGTATCAAAAACCTTCGAATGTTTTATTTGCGAAGATACTGAAAGTTGGAAACTGTCAAATTTTTGGGTTCTGTACAAATCTCCCAATTCTATACAATGTATTCGATGTGTACATATATTATTAATATAATATATTACATTATACTATATATTATATTATAATCATAATTATACTATATTATATTTATAATTATATTATATTATATATTATATTATAATTATAATTATATTATATTATATATTATATTATAATTACAATTATATTATATATTATATTATAATTATAATTATATTATACTATATATTATATTATAATAAAATAAAATTAATATATTAATAATGTGTCAATTAATTATATATGTATATTTATAGTTATAGTTATATATATATATATATATATATATATGTATATGTATAGTTATTGCATATATATGTAAATGTATATAAATTGAAGAAATCATATAAATAGAAATGAAGAAATTATATAAAATAGAAATCTATTTTATGATAAAATATCTATATTATAAAAATCAATGAAGTTATCGAAGTTCGTCGAAGGTTTCTTCAATGTTGAAGACATTGAAAAATTTAAAAAAAATCTATACTATGTGAAATTGTGCCTGAGAGGTGAGGTATATATAATAATAAATCACAAAAATATTCGACACTCACCGCAAGAAATTTTCATAGATATATTGTATGCGTTTCACAATATTGCGGCGTCAATGAAGTTCCAATATACTCATAAATATTTCTGCGAGTGTTTAAACACTTTCAGGTGAGGCTTTGTTTGTTGCGTCAATGTGTACATACACGCACGCAAAGATTTCAAACAGTCTAAACAGCGAATAATAAATTAATTATACAGGGACATAGGAGAGACAGTAAAGGGGGACAAGTCAAAGAGCTTCTAAGTATTAAAGCGCCAAAGGGAAGTTAGTTTCTGTATAACTTAAATTAGTTTTAAACACGTTTATTGCATTATGAAGGGCTTCTTCTATTTAAGCTTTTCTGTCTCCTCGACTTTTATGCATTCAAAGTGGCTCGGTAGCTAACCGAGTAACAGCACGAATGCGATTTTGCAATTCAATAGGAAAAAAAAAAAAAAAAAAAAAACAGAGAAAGAAAAAGAAACGTGTGTCATTAAAAGTTATTTAATTTCTGCAATCTCGTCTCTGCGGACATTCATTCCGTTGCATCAGGAATGGACTATTCGTTATTCCAACAAACGTCAACTTTCATCGAATGATACTGATAAAATTTTTTAATTTGCTCGTCGCATGCAATGCTGTTTTATGAAAAAAAAAAAAAAAAACAGGACAGCTGTGACTTTTTCTCTTTTTAATGTTTCCAATTGAAAAATGCTCGAGTAATAAAATATCTCTAAACACAAACGTTCTCTGAAAATTTTTAGAGAATGTTTACGCTTACAATTATTATTATAAAGTTACATTACAACATTGCAAAGCTGCTTCAGTGTTTCCTGAGTTACTCATTATGATAAAAAGCAATGTTGCGTCGCTTAATTTTTCCAAGAATATCGCCAGAGATCTGTAATGAGTTACAGTGGGTGTGAAAGGTATTCGTACAGTGACTAATTACGACTAAAATGTTGAATAATAATATTTATTGAGCAATATTTTTTAAACAAACATGATACATCTATTCTCTAATGTCTGAAGAACAACAATATCAAATAAACAAAAAAAATATTCATATTGTTTATATAAACATCAAGAAAAATGAACGCGTAATAAATATTCGTAAAGTTGTCTATTGTCATTATCAAGTGTACAAGAAATTTATAATAGAAACAAACATTTATAATAGAAACAATAAATAATTGTAAAATTAACATTTATAATTAGTATTTAGTAGAGTTTCCCTTTGATTTTATTATTGCAGCTAGCCTTCTAGGTATTGAATTAATTAAATTAGATGTGATTTTATTAGCGATATTCCATTCGTTGATCAAAGCATCTTCTAAGTCTGTTTTAGATGAAATTGTATGTTTTCGAACAAATGTTCAATAGGGTTAATATCTAGTGTTTCTAAAGGTGCTGGCGTGTTGTATGCAATCCACAAATATCATGTGAATGAAAGAAGCGATTGGAGTTCACACAGTTACGTGAAAACACTGATGGAGTTTTGGAGCAGGGTCATCTTCACGGATGACAGCAAATTTAACATTTTTGGCTCCTTTACAGTGTGAAGAAGAAGAAGAGGAGGAGAGGGGGAAAAGAAAAAAAATGAAGAGTATAAACCTCAGAACTTACAGCCGACAATAAAATATAGTGGTGGTTCAATATGTGTTTGAGGCTGCATGTGTGTCGCAGGTGTGAGTGAATTGCATTTGATTGACGGAACAATGGATCAAAAGATGTATATTAATATTTTAAAAACTCATCTGCGTTCAAGTGATGAAAAAAATGGATACTGAAAACAATTTTTGTTGATGCAAGATAATGATCCTAAGCATACCGCTTACGATACAAGAATGTGGACTGCATATAATAACGCCAGCACATTTAAAAACATTCCCCGCAATCATCAGATTGAACATTTGTGAGATTATCTGGAACGAGCAATTCGAGAACATACAATTTCATCTAAAACAGAGTTAAAAAATGATTTGATCAACGAATGGAATAATGTCACTAATAAAATCACATTTGGTTAATCCAATTTAGTTAATTCAATAGTTAGAAGGCTAGCTGCAATAATGAAATTAAAGGGAAACCCTACTAAAAGCTAATTATAAATATTACTTTTATAATTATTTGTTGTTTCTGTTATAAATTTCTGTTTAAATTTCTTGTACACTTGAAAATAACAATAGAACTGTACGAATACTTATATACGCGTTCATTTTTCTTACATAAATATTTTAATAAAAATTTCTTATATAAATATTTGTATTCTTATATAATTATTATTTTTATAATGATATTTATATAAACAATATGAATATTTTTTTTTGTTCATTTGATACTGTTGTTCTTCAGACTTTGGAGAATAGATGTGCCACGTTTGTTTAAAAAATATCGTTCAATAAATATTATTATTCAGCATTTTAGTCAGCGATTAGTCACTGTACGAATACCTTTCACACTCAGTGTAAATTAAAGTTGCAATGGCGTAGCAAAATTGTCCCGCAGAATCTTCGTATTTTCCACCATCGTAAATTGTCCCGCGATATTTTCGAAACATCCGGAACAGTTTGGACCGTTTAACAGTGTTTCTACAATGTTTCAATCCCCTCCCCGAAGCATTTTCAAACTCGTGACAGTATTGTAAAATGCCTCGAGTTATTCCGTAACACGTTTCCATAGCGCTTTCAGTATTTCGACTGAATGTTGTAACAACAGAGGGGCAGGGAATAACAGCAGACCTGTACAAAATATATAGGATAGCAAAAGCAATTTCATCTTGGCTTATGACATTTGCCTCGATTTCCAACCGTTCCATCAATGTATCTCACCTTGAATGCATGGGATAGTTCGTACTGGCTCAACAACGTTTAATCAGCCGAGGAGTTGGTAATATTTCCTTGTATCTGACATGTTCGATTGATTCGCCGGCAGACTGTGTGTGCACGCTCGCGAGTGAGATGATGAAAGTTTTCCCGATGAAAGTCGGATAAAGGAATTTACTTCAAAAAGAAATCTTGTTTCGTTGGTAAATGCATCGGGCAAAAGGCTGCGCATTTCTCTTAAGGAACGAACATATGCCAAAGCAGTTTACTGCCTGTTCGATGGAATTCTATCGCCGCGAATTCTATATACGCGATACTTCAAACGGCAACTGCTTATACATTTTCCTTTCCGCTGATTTTCAATTTGATAGGGGATTAAAAGCAGAGAAATAAAAGGCAACGTCTAGAAAGACTGTACCGTCACCGATTTGAATGCTATTTTTCTCTGTACACGTGATAATGCTCGGCCTGTTTTTCGAGTTATTTACGCAGCATCGAGTTTCTTAATATTTATATGTAATATAATATTTATATCACGCGAATGAACTTGAGACGCCTTTTTTAAACAATTTTTCTTCTTTTTTTTTTATACCGATATTTATTCCAATGTATGTCACAGTGCCTTATGTTTAGATTGCGTGTTAATATTGTGGAAAGACCTACTTGTCGCCTGTGCTGCTCTCTTTTCTCTTTTTTATTTGATTTTAGTATACAGTAGACTTATGAATTTAGCAAGGCGAAATACAAGAATATCCCAGTTTTTCATACAATAGATTTTACAAAATTGAAGTTAAAATATCTCCTAAACTGATGATTTTTCGACATACGTAGATTAATACTCTTTATGAAGAATGTCGAGCTGCATCGATCAATGGATCAAAAAATATATCATTCCATTTTAAAACATTCAAAGTCATCTCGATATTATTCCAAAATATAGCAAGTAATATATTCATCCGATTAGCTTCCTCGCACACAATGAATTTCATTTCAAATATTTTTTTTATAAAATCACTAGAAAGCGAGTTATTTCATTCTTTATAGAGAATATCGAATGTCGAATTGCATCGATTAATGGATAAAAAAATACACCGATTTCTATTTAAAACAAAACTCAAAGTCATCCCGAGAATATAAGCGATATGTTTTCCATATGTTTGAAAATACAAGTGAAACATATCCATTCGATTAGTCA